GAGCGTTCCAGGTGGAGGACCAGCAGATGCCGAGGTCCCGAGGTAGCAGCAAGTGGATTACCTGAGCAATTTAAAGAAGTTCGGAGTCTGGAACGTGAAGACTTTATATTCTCGAAACCACTTTTATGTCTTACGGAGAATGGATTGGGTGAAGACAAAAGTGGCATAAGGAGACCACTGAGCAGCTGTCGTAGACGCAGCTGAGAGATGACGGGCCATGGGGCAGGATGGCACTGGGGCTGGAGAGAAGAGGGCGCGTGGGGTTCGTCTGGGGGAGTCAGGAGGTTTGTTGATGGACTAGTTACTCAGGGAGAGGGCAAGAGCAGTCATGAGTCACTTATGGCTGGAGGAAACAGTGGAGCCATTGATTGAATCAGGGTGGCCCAGCTGGTGGAGTGTGGGGGGCTTGGGAGGATCGCAATTCAGTCCTGGCACTAACCACCCAGACTTAGCACAGACCCTGCAAGTCTAAGGGCACGTCCCCAAAAGGGCAGCCCTCAGTTCAGATGCCAGGTGCACCTTGGGGGTCCCCAAGCCACCTTTACTTCCGACCAACTGGCTACAAATTTGGGAGTTTTTTATGACTCCTGCAGGTTAGATAACTTACTGCAGTGACTCACTGAACTCAAGAAAGCCTTATACTTACAGTTTTATTATAAAGGATACAGATCAGGACTAGCCAAATGAAGGAACACATCAGGCAAGGTCTGTGAAGGTCCCCAACAGAGAGCTTCACTGCTCTCTCGGTGGAACCAGGGTGCAGGTTCCTCATCCGTGTGTTCACCAGCCAGGACGCTCTGCTAAGGTTCAGTGTCCACAGCTTTTATTGGGGGGGTTCCATCTCATACGCACAACTGATGGACTCATCTGCTATGTGACTGAACTCAATCCCCAGCCGCATCCCACCGCCCCTCCTCAAAGTCCCACCCTCTAACCCCATGATTGGTCGTTCTGGTGACCGGCTCCCACCCTGAAATGTTTCATTAGGAACTCCTATCCCTTGGGAAATTCCAAGGATCTTAGAAGCTCCATGCCAGAAACCCAGAACAAAGACCAAATTCTTTTTTGTATATACGGCAGGGATGGGAAGCCTGAATCCCATTTTCAGTCTGTTAATTTGGTTCATGGAAGTGGAGAAAGTCAGGAAGGCATCTGGAAGTATAAGCACAGAGGATGTGTTGGGAATGGAAATGAAAATGTGCGGGTCAATAGCACAAGGTGGAATTCAAAAACGTGAGGAGAATGGTGATTGAGCTGGCAAAGGAGAGCGTGCAGAGGGAAGGAGGCACCGCAAGAGGTGCTGCTGGATGCTTCTGCCTCCTGATACTGACCTTTTCGAGCTCAATAAATATGTAAAAAGAATCCTGGTGTTTTGGTATATTTTTAAAACGTTTTATCTTGAAATAAGTTACCTTCACTTACAGCCCAAGTGGTCAACATTTTACTTTGCTTTATCCCTCTCTTTATTTTCTCTGTATATATCATTCTTCGCCAGATCTGAAAGTTGCAGATATGTTGTCCCTTTACCCCTAAGTGCATGTGTGTACTTCCTAAAAACAAGGATGTTCTCTTACATAAAAATCAGGAAATTAATATTGGTTCAATGCCATTATCAAATCCAGCAGTTCTCAAAACGTTCTCTGAGATCCTCAGAGGAGCTGAGATTTCCACCTATTTTTATAATAACATATAGACAATATTTGACTTTTTCATTTCTATTCTTTGCAGAGTGTACAGTGGGGTTTTCAGAGGCTTCATGGTAAGTCATGATCTCATTGCTCTATTGTCAGTATATAATGGATTTATTATTGTCATTTAAAAAATTATCATAAGTCAATATTTAACAATTTTTCTAGGTTGTAATTTCTAGTACAAGTAAAAATCTTAAGATATAAGCTATTTGGGGTGTTCAATAATTTTTAAGAATGTAAAGGGGTCTTGAGATCAAAATGTTTTGAGATATGTTGATTTGATGCAAAATTAAAAAAAAATTTACCAATTGTCCCAATATGCACTTCTTTCTTTTTATTTTTTTCTGGCTGGGATAAAACTCAGTTCATGCATCACATTTAGTTTTCCTGTCTCTTTAAAAGTCCCCTTTAACTTGGAACAGTTCTTCAGACATTCTTTCTCTTGACATTTTTGGAGGATCCTTCTAGTTATTTTGTAGAGTGTTCCTTAATTTAGGTTTGTCTGATGTTTCTTCATGATTGGATTCAGATTCTACATTTTTGGCAGAAATACCACAAAAGTGACATGGTGTCTTTCTTGGTGCAGTATCAGAAGTATATGATGTTTGTTTGTCTCATTACTGGTGATGCTATCTTTGGCAATTTAGTGTGCAGTATTTAACACTCAAGTATATTAGTATAGTCTTTTCTGGCCAAATGACTCTTTCTTGTTCTCCATTTGAAGCTTTTTCTTGTAGGAGAGGAAAAAGGTTTTCTCACTCTTGAGGTCCCTGGCTGGGTCTGAAAATTAAAGTGACAAAGACAGATGAACAAGAGAAAAGCATACAAATTTATTTAAGTTTTACATGACATGAGAGCCTTCGTAAGGAGATGAAGACCCAAAGAAACAGACCTGTGTAATTTTTGTTGTTAGGTTTGACGAAGCATGAGTAGTCATGGAGGAACATGATAGGTTAAGGAATATGAGGTAGGCAGAGTAAACTGGGGGAAATTTAGCAAGGCCTGTTGGTTCAGATTCTTCTTGGTGTGCTTGTCTTTGGAGATAAGGCTGCTCCTTCCCTCCCAGTATAGATAGGGCACCTCTCACATTTATGACCTGTTTCAGGAGAGAAGGGTGGGGACCTGGGACCCTCTACCTGAGCGCTTGCACCTGGACAAACATCTCCTACAGCAACAGATACAAAGAAACTACAAGAGACTGCAGACAACTGCACCCATGCACAGCCACAGGGGCAGTTATGAACAATAAGACACAAAAAGGCCACAAACCAACTGCCACTTCTGAGGTGCCACAAGGAAAAGCAGGGTAGAGCAGACCCAAGTTTGGTTCGGGAACATCCTCAGCTCCCTCCCTCTACACCCACCAGCACTATTAGGCTGTAAGAAGAAGACACACTGAAAAGGGCTTGTTTTTATCAGGGCTAATAATTTTTTAGGGTAATACTTGTACAGTCCTTTGCAGCTTTCAAACACTTTTGCACCGTATATATTATTCAAATCTTCTAACAAGTCTGGGAGAGGGGCCAAGTATCAGTATTAGAGGAGGAATTACAATTACAGAATCACGTATCTGCGCACTGCCAGGACACGGCTAGGTCAAATGAATACCTAAACAGTTAAATGGCTATTTTAGGCAGCAGATACTCTCCTGTCTGGTTTCTGAGGAGTTACAGAGGCAGGAAGACAAGGGAAAAAGAATTTGGGAGAATCTGGGGGCAGAAGGGTGGAAACATGGAAGGAGGCACACGATTAGGATTAGGATTCAGGACAAAACTAGGATTCAGGGATGACTGTCTCTCACGCCGGGGTTTGTGAAAAGAAACCGGGGCAGAAACTACTGTCTGGGCACCAGTGAGTCGGGCTGGGGTGTGGGGGCGGGGAAGGGGATTGCGGGACTCCAGCGTCCGGGCGGGGCTCATCTAGCTGTACGGGGGACAGGACCAAGAGTGGGCGGGGCCGGACAGAGAGCGGGCGGGGCCTCTCGCGGGGGCGGGGCCGCACAGAGAGCTCAGATGGGCGGGACCAACCTGTGGTGGGCGTGGCCGACGTGGGCGGGCCGTCGACTCGCGGGTTTGCGGGGTCGGAGCGCGCTTCCAGGTGTCCCCGGCAGAGGGCGCGGGCAGCTGCGCAGCCCGCGGAGTCCCGAGGCCGGAAGCCGCGCGGCGCCGCCCCGCTCGCCCCAGCCGTCGCCATGAAGGCCGTGGTGCAGCGCGTCACCCGGGCCAGCGTCACAGGTCAGTCGGGCGGGGCCGGGCCGGGCTGGACGCCCCCGGGCCGCCGCCGGCCGCGCGCGAGCCCGGTCCCCGCCGCCCCGAGTCCCCGCCGTCCCGGGGCGCCGTCCACGGGCTGCAGGGTCTCCGCTTAGTGTCGCGGTGACCGCGCCTCGTCGTCTTCTGCAGCGTTTCCTTTAGTCCGGAGCGCCGGTGGCCTCCCGCATCCCCCGAGCGTCCCCCGAGCATCCCCCGGCCCGCCCTTCCACGCGGTGTTAAACAGACGACGCGTGGGGAGCGTTTCCGGGGCACACACCCCCTCCCCAGCCTTCTGCTCCGCGTTTCCCCTTCTAGCCGGTTTTCTCCGTGTCCCGTTTCACCTGGAGCTTGACTCCCCAAAGGTGCCCGCTCGTGACAGGTGCTCGTAGGAGTGGGTTCTGGCCGTGTCTGCCCACGTGACCCGGGTGCGAACCCAGAGGATCCAGGATGAGATGTTTCTCTTTTCCACCAGTTTCATGTGAACCGAGCCACGCAACCATCAGTCATGGCTTGAACACTGCGGTCTAGTTTGAACATCAGGGGTCCAGATGATTAATAGGTAGAAGGAAGTCCTTTTAAAAACTCAAGCCAAGATAAGCAGAAATAGAGACACAGAGGTAGAGAACAAACGAATGGACACCAAGGGGGAAGGGGTGGGTGGGATGGATTGGGAGATGGGGATTGACATATACACACCTACACTATTGATACTATGTATAAAATAGATTACTAATGAGAGCCTACTGTACAGCACAGGGAACTCTACTCAATGCTCTGTGGTGACCTAAATGGGAAGGAAATCTAAAAAAGAGGGGATATATATACACACATAGCTGATTCACTTTGCTGTACAGCAGAAACTAACACAACATTGTAAAGCAACTCTACTCCAATTTAAAAAAAAAACCTTGGGTGACGATAGTATAGATGTTAAAATTTTTTTGAATGATTAACTTTACATTGTCTTCTAGTCTTTCCTATTTTTATTGGCAGAATTCTAGTATTGTTTCAGTTCAAGTAGTTCTAGATATCCTTTCCTTCAAGCCTATACCAAATGTGTGTTTCTATGTCCAGGAAAGTATAAATCTAAAAATGAAACAACAAAATCCCCTAAAGAAACAATCAAACTCAGTAAAACCATATATTTAGATCTGAGATTCTACTTTTCAGTCCTGGCTAATGATTCTAAGCTGTTCTGATAAGTGATTTTGGATATCATCCTGGAGTAATAGGGAGTAGTATAGCTCTGGGCTTTATGAAATTTTAAAACAAAGTGGGTTTTTTTTTTTTTTTTTTAGCATTTTAGTTAATATGTAACTTCACTAAAACTGGGAAAATTCATAGGTGAAAAGATTTTCTTGCTTTTTTTGAGAAGAATCTTGCAGCCTGCCCTATGTGGTCATGATGGCCAGTCAGCAGACTTTGGAGAATGTAAGTTTTGATCAGAATGGAGAACTCTCCATTGTGCTGATCTGGAATATCAAAAACACATTTCTGTGAGATTAGCTGAATAGTTTGAATGATCTTACTTTACTGTTTAAGTTGTATGCTTTTAGTTAAAAACAGCAAATTAACTGTCTGAAGGTGTTAATAAGATGGAATTCTCACGGTGCTGGAGGAAACTTTGAGTTAGCCTTGCCTTCTACTTGCATTGTAATGGAGAGAGGTTTTCTGATTCCTTTAGAATGTGACTGACTGGCTTCACTTCCATGTGGCCTTTCTCGAATGGCATTTTATTTCAAAGCTTCTAAAATGTCACTTCCAGTTTTATAGGTGGGACAGAGTATTAAGAGTCACATATTACGTGGCAGGCTCACTTTATGAGCTTGGTCAGGCACATTTGATGCCTTAGCATGGTTATTGTGATAATCTAATTTTAAAAGCTTTATGACAGAACACTTCAAACATATTCATGTGGTTACACAGATGGAATAGTACAATAACCCCCATGTCCATCACTCAGCTTTATAAGCCAAAATCTGAATAGAATCATAAAATGTTGGGAAGAGATTGGTTGGGTTTGAATGTGTTAATTTGTGAGCTGGTGAATTCTTCTCAAAGAGGAAGTCTTGGGTGATGCCATTATACGTGGCATCAAATAAACATTGACCAAATAGCTCAGGTCTCTTCTAGCCCTGTGACCTTTTGTCTAAAATGGTGATTCTCAAGTTTTTCCCCTTGGAAATCTGTTTGTGTATAATAAAACATCCCTTTAACCTCCTAATTCTTCTGCCTGAAGGAGGGACAAAACTTCTCCAAAATGAGAGAGCGAATTGTGTCATCTCAAGGCTTTGGTGCATAATTCATTTCTTATTAGGATAATACCACATTATAAAAATATTGAAACTGTTCAGATAGTGATTTGAATCACTTCAAATAGTGATTCTATTTTTGAGAATCTATTCTAAGAAGATAATCCTAATTATAGAAAAAGCTTTAGAGGGATGAACAGGTGGAGCACAGAGGATCCTTAGGGCAGTGAAACTACTCTGTACAATACTGTCATGGTGGATACATGTCGTTACATTTGTCCAAACTGATAGAATGTCCAACACCAAGAGTGAGCCCTCATGTAAACTGTGGACTTGGAGTGATAGTGAGGTGTCAGTGTAGGTTTGTCATTTGGAACAAATGTACCATCTGGAGGGGGACGTTGATAGTGGCGAGACTGCATGTGGGGCTGGGGTATATGGGAAATCTCTGTGCCCTCTGTTCAGTTTCACTGTGAACCTAAAACTGCTCTATACACGAAAGTATATTAAAAAAAAACACCCCAAAACTTTAGTGTATAAAGGTTTTCACCACAGTGTTACTTATTGAAGTGAAAAATTTTAAAACAAGCCATTTATCCAGCCAAATAGGATGGTTAGTCCATCCATGGATGGAATGCAGATGTTCCACTGGATGGGCTGCAACTATTAAAAGATGCTTAGGAAAAGCTCATAATATGGAAAAATCCTTATGAGATGTTAAAAGCTGAGACACAAAAATTTATACACAATATTACTATGGTAGGTGAGAACAAATATGAAGTAAAATCTGTGGACGGAGGAAAACATCAAAAGGAAATAATCAGTAACACACTAAAGTGCTTGTCTTCAGTTCTTTTTTCTTTCCTGTTTCTCTTATTTTTTAAAGTTTTCTATACTGCATATGCATTACTTTAATGGTGGACATAGTTCAGTCATCATTCTTTTTTAAGTTTTTAAAATATACTCTGGGGAAAATTTTAAAAACATATTGATATTGTAAGAAAATAATATTGACTTACTTAAAGAACAAATAAAGCCACAGTTTTCTAAAGTACTGCAAACAGGCAAGCAACGCCAGTTGTTTACTGCTTATGTCAGGAGAGCTGATTTCTGTTTCAGATTTTGAGTCAGTGGCTCAAAGGACAGTAAATCACTCATAGTCCATTATAAAAAAAGCAGCACAGAAGAAAATATTAAAAGATTTGTGTTTTCTTAATCATAAAACTAAGAGAAGTTAAGCTTTAATAAGAATTATTTCAGGGACTTCCCTGGTGGTCTAGCGATTAAGACTCCATGGTCCCAGTGCAGGGGGCTTGGGTTCGATCCATGGTCAGGGGACTAGATCCTGCATGGCGCAACTAAGGTCCTGCGTGCTGCAGCTAAGACCGGCTCAGCCAAGATAAATAAATCAGTAAATATTCTTTAAAAAAGAGTTATTTCAGGAACAAACTGATGCTCGTGCTCCCCTCGTGTCTGTCAGATGGTCCCTTGTCAGACACCTGCAGGAAGAGGGTTTCTCACTCTTCCCTTAGCTTGCAGGATGTGGCAACATGGTACAGTCTGTGATGCCTTGTCAGGTATATTTGTAAATATTATTATCTAGCAGAAGCAAATAACAAGAAAATGGCAGAGTTTCTCCTGATTGGAACATTAGGTCAGTATACAATAAAATAACCAAACATCAATAATCTAATGAGCTTTGGCAAAAAGTTGGCCAAAAAAATAGAAAATTATGAAGATCAACATTTGAAATATGGATTTAGTTTCACCACCATAATGATGTGTCTTAACCTAAGTACTGTGCCAGCACTGAGATACTGTCTAGTGGTTAGGAGAGTGTACATTTGACGCTAAATGCATATGCAAATGTTTGGAATAGGAATCTATGTTCAAAGAATTTTTTTATGCATGGGGTGCATCACTCAAAATGATTTGGAGGTTATTGGCTTAGAATGCAACCTTAGTAATAAGCTGGGAAATAATAGAAGTTTGCTGACTTGAAGCTTAACTTTTATTTCTTTAAAAATTTATTCATTTATTTTAAATTAAATTAATTAGTTAATTAATTAATTTATATTTTATTTTTGGCCGTGCTGGGTCTTCGTTGCTGTGTGCGGGCTTTCTCTAGTTGCAGCAAGCGGGAGCTACTCTTCGTTGTGGTGCTCAGGCTTCTCATTGTGGTGGCTTCTCTTGTTGCCGAGCACGGGCTCTAGGCGTGCAGGCTCAGTAGCTGTGGCTCACGGGCTCTAGAGCACAGGTTCAGTAGTCGTGGCACACAGGTTTAGTTGCTCCGTGGCACGTGGGATCTTCCCGGGCTAGGGCTCAAACCCGTGTCCCCTGCGTTGGCAGGCGGATTCTTAACCACTGCGCCACCAGGGAAGCCCCTGGAAGCTTAACTTTTAAACTGTGTTTTTTTTATGTATGATATATTTATCTTTTCTGCAGTAAGTAGAGAAATCATTTCTTTATTTTTATGACATAAATGTTTTCCATTGTGCATTGTGTATTGTGTTATCAGGTTTGCTGATTTCCAAGAATAGCAGGCATCTCCTTTTTGAGAATTACTGTAGCTGAGCTGGATTCTCTGGGGAGAAAAACTTTTGTTGTTACAGACGGGCAAACTCATAGAAAGTTTCAGAGGTCTCAACCAAGGTAGCACAGATGAAAACACGGCCTGAAAATCCCGCTTAATGGTTGTTCACTTCACAACTCATTCATTCCAAATGTAAAGTCAGAATGGACAAAGTATGATTATCATACTGCATCGACGTAACCCCTTTCACGTTTTAGTACCTACTGACTTTGGCAAAGAAGTTACGAGAAGTATGTGTGACGTTTAAACTTTCCTGTGGATGCTCAAATGTGCCTCATGGCACCTGTTTGGTTTTCCCTTTTGTTTCCTTTCCCTTTTGTCTCCTTTCCCTTTTGTTTCCTTTCCAGTTGGTGGAGAACAGATAAGTGCCATCGGACGGGGCATCTGCGTGTTGCTGGGTATTTCCCTGGAAGATACGCAGAAGGAACTGGAGCACATGTAAGAGGCAGATTTCCACGTCACTGCCTTTCTAGTGGGACATGTGCTCATCATCTAGCTGGCTGGCTAGCTGTTTAAATAAATTATATATATGGAACTTCCATAGTATTTTGCTCCTATAAAGTGAGACTCTGTCAGTTTTACGCATGTCCCTTTTGATGCAGTGTGGTTATCTCTGTGTCACAGATGGTAAGCCAGCGACACCCAGTAAGCCAGCGACAGGGCAGGAGCACAACTTAGCCTCTGTCCCTATTTGCTGCTGCAGCCTTGAACCATTCTCTTAGTGTGAAAACCAAGCCTCTTTTCATAGGAATGTTTTATGTTTTCAGTTTGAGCAGTATGATCTGGGCACTGTTTACACATGTTAAGAATGCCCAGTTGTTCACCGTTTGCATTAGGATCTGGAGCTCAGAGAGGTTGCATTACCTGCCGAAGGTCATGCACACGTCCTTAGCAAAAAGCCTGACTGCAGGTTAGAACCTAGGCCACCTGGCCTGGAAGCCAGTGCTCTTTTTACTAAGGTGGGAGGTTTGCCATTGCTGTGGCCCTAGTACAGGCAGCCTCTGCCCCTCCTCACGTCACTCTCCCCCGCACCACTGCGCACCTGTACCTCAGGTGCTTGGGTCCATTCTCGCTGCCCCTGCTGCCCAGAGCCTACATGTGACGGTTGCCCAGTTGTCCCTTTTGTATTAGGTTGAAAACCAGACTTGGAACCAAGCTCCCGCCGAGGTGTTGATGACTAGCTCAGTAACACTCACGGCTGTTGGTATTTTAAAAGCTGTCCCCTGGATACGCAAAGACGGAGCAAAGTGGTGTAGTGGTTACAAGCCGGGGGCTGGTCTGAAGCTCTCCGTGGCTCTGACAAAATGGAGAGCTAGCACCTAACTTGGTTAAGAGCAGTGACTCAACATAAGGCAGACCCCGCTGTGGAGAAGGGGTGATAAATAGCGCATACCGCAGAGGGTGCCCGTGTAAGGTGTCGGCGAATGAGTATTTGTCCAGGCTTTGAACATGTCTTCAGCATCATCCAGGAAGGTGGCTTCAAATGGCGGAATTGCACCTTTCACGGAGGTAGTTCTTTGTCATTCGTCTCAAGTCTGACCTTATAAATGCTACCTGGTCCTCCTCCTTGCCAGGGTGGCCGTCCTTTGTCATCCACGTGTATAGGGAAAGCCCCGCTGGGGTGTAAGGAGCATGTGACATAGTTGTCAAGGTGTCTTTCCCCAGATCGTTTTGCATATCTGCAATGACCATGAGTTTTCTCCAGGGTATTTGCTGAATCGTTCATTTTGAGAAGTTCCAAGAAAGGGTATAAAAGCGGGGCATCATTTATTCCAGTGTAAAGATGGAATTCTGTAAAAAATCAGAATTGAGCCCATGTTTTGACACCTCCGGTTCCCACCGGAAGCTGCTGTGAATTGGAGGGGCTGGCAAAAAAAAAAAAAAGCACATCACCAATCAACGCTAAGAGGTAGGACTATTATTACCCCTATTACAGATGCAGAAACTGAGGCACAGGGTAGAAAGTAACTTGCCTAAGGTCACCCCTCCTGTAAGTGATGGAGCCAGCACAGTGTCCCTAGTCAGCAGGGTGCTTGTGACATTTGGGGGTGTGGGTGTGTCTGGGGGGCTTGTGATTCTTCAGGTAGCGCTCACCCCTGTTTTCCCCCAGGGTCCGGAAGATCTTAAACCTGCGTGTGTTTGAGGATGAAGGTGGGAAACACTGGTCGAAGAGCGTGATGGACAAACAATACGAGGTGCTGTGCATCAGCCAGTTCACCCTGCAGTGCGTCCTCAAGGGGAACAAGCCCGATTTCCACCTGGCGATGCCCTCAGAGCAGGCGGAGGGCTTCTACAACGGCTTCCTGGAGCAGCTACGCAAGGCATACCGGCCAGAGCTTGTCAAAGGTAGGCGGGAGCCCAGCGCCCAGGAGGGCGTCCCCTGGACACTTCCTGGCAGGGGAAAGGCAATCTGAAGATGCAACATTTCCTTTTCCAGAAAGTTCACTGTTTACACTTATTACTTTCTTAAAACAGCATAAGGGCCGCTGCCGCCACCACTGTTGTGCGTGTCCTCTGAATGCCCCAGTACCGTTTACCCTTCTTTATTCTTCCGTCCACATTTGGAATGTTTAGCAACCCAGCAGTGCACTTGATATAGTGGTGGTTCATTTCGGTTGCTTATCCTGCCCAACAGAGAAATACAACTGCCAGACTCAAATGGGAGCCATGTGTCATTTTAAATTTCTAGGAGCCATGTTAAAAAAAAGAAAAAGAAACAAGTGAAATTAATTTTAAGACTGTAATTCAGTTAGCCCAGGATATCCACAGTATTCTGATTTCACCCTGCCGTCAATGTAAAGAGCTATTGATGAGATAACTCACATTCCTCCTTACTGAGGTCTTCCATTCTCACGGTGCATCTCGATTCAGACCAGCCACATGTCGAGCGCCTGGTGGCCGTGTGTGGCCCTCGGCTGTCATTTGGACAGTGTAGACTTAATGGCTTGTCGTGGGGACTGCCAGCCTAGCCTGACTGATCAAGATTAAGCCTAGAAAACGCCTGAGAAGAGTGGGCCTGGTTTGTGGGAGGATTATGAATCGGAACTTATGAATCTCCTTAAGAGGGTGTGTTTCTAGTCTGTTTTCATGTTCCTAGAGTGCTTTTCCTTCAAAGTTACTGGGAAGCATACTTAGACTCCTTTGGTGATGCACCTCAGGGTGAGAACTTGCTCAGCAGGATGTCTGCTTCCGAGTCTGACTGCAGCTACTCCTGCTGCTGTTGGACTCTCGTAGCTGTTGAGTAGTTGTTAATAGTTGACTCTGTAGTGTTTCCTACACTTTAACTTTCTCTCAGTGGGTTAGACAAACCCAGGTCCTTTGGTTATCGGGCCTGTTTTCAACCGTAAGTAATAAAAGTCACGACATGACTTTGGAGCTCTGTAGCAGAGCCCCACATCTCTGAGGGTCGTCAGCTCCTCAGATGGCTCTGTGTTCTGAGGAGTGATGTTCCAGCCCCTCACTGGTATTTCCTTTCGTTTTAATTCTCCTCTTACTTGTGTCAGGTGTCCATTTGCCAACAGGACAGATGGATTCTATGTGATCAGGACCCTCCCGCCTTAAATCAAATCCTGCTCTTTACTTGGGTCCTGGTAGAGCAGAATATATTCGCTTCTTCTGGGAGCCTCCAAGTTTAGAACTCCATTGGCACGTCCGATCGTGGATGTCCACTGGGGTCCTCTGTCCGTCGTGGATTTGCTGCAAACAAGCTTCTTCCCAGAATTAGCAATTAAGTCAAATGCTTTGAATAATAATTTTTCTTGGCTGAGCCAAGGATTAATGCTGCCAGCATTGTCTTCTCTGCTTGATATTTATAGAATCATCCCATTTCTGGGTAATCTCAGACGTATTTGGGGATGCACTGAAGGCCCTTGATAGATGAGCAGAAGGAATATCATGAAAGGGCTTCCCTGGTGGCGCGGTGGTTAAGAATCCGCCTGCCAGTGCAGGGGACACGGGTTCGAGCCCTGGTCCGGGAAGATCCCACATGCCGCAGAGCAACTAAGCCCATGTGCCACAACTACTGAGCCTGTGCTCTAGAGCCCACGTGCCACAACTACTGAAGCCCATGAGCCACAGCTACTGAAGCCCGCACGCCTAGAGCCCGTGCTCCGCAACAAGAGAAGCCACCGCAATGAGAAGCCCGTGCACCGCAACGAAGAGTAGCCCCCACTTGCCGCAACTAGATAAAGCCCGCGTGCAGCAATGAAGACCCAACGCAGCCAAAAATAAATCAATTTATATATAAAAAAAGGAATATCATGAAAGCACAGGTGAGGGCCCTTTCCATGGGAGAACAGTGATGGTCGTGAAGGCATGCTTGAGTGAAAACAAAACCACTTTCGTCTAAAGCCTTAAAGAGGAGCGTTTTATTATTCGGTGCTTTGTGTTCCTAAAAACACCTTTTACGTTTTGAGAAAAATCTGTATTTCATCCAGGTAATTATATGAAGTGCCTGAAGCAATGTACTGTAAACAGTGTAATTTTATAATGGATCAGAATTTAAGCTCATGGGATATGATACCTCTGGTCATTTTGATGAAAAATCAACATGAATTATGCCACAGGTTTTAATCAGAATTTATTTTCTGCTCCTTTGGGCTTTCAGAGGCACTACAGTGATTTCCCAGGGCCTCACTCGCTCTTCGCCTTTTATCTCCTTTATGATCTTTAGTGGAACGAAGTGCAGGGAGCGTTTTTTACATGCTTGCTGTCTTTTGGTAAATTTTGAGATTCTGGCTTCCAGCTCCGGTACGGAAAGTCCTCTGTGACCTGGAGGGAAGATGGAACACAAATTGCTAAATACGTTTTCTTTCTTTTAGGATTTTCAGGACCTCTTTAGTGACTTTAAGACTTAAAGGAGTTTAATTCGAAAATTAAAACATTTAACCCTAACCCTAAAAAATTTTAAAAAATTTCCAAGTTTTATTGAGGTATAATTGACCTATAACACTCCATTAGTTTTAGTTGTACAACATGGTGATTTGATATACACATATATTGTGAAATGATCACCACGATAAGTTAACAGCCATCACCTCACAGGGGTTGACAGTTAAGGTAAGGCTGCTGTACCTCACATCCCTAGAACTTAGTTACCTTCTAACTGGAAGTCTGTACCTTTTGACCACCTGCACCCTCCAACTTTGGCAACCACTTGTCTCTTCTCTGTATTTATGGGGTTTTTTTTTTTAGGTTTCGTAATATAAGTAAGATCAGACAGTGTCTTTCTTTGTCTAACTTTTTTCTCTCAGTGTAAAGCCCTCACGGTCCATCCGTATTGTCACGAATGGCAGGGTCTCCTCCTTTTGTGGCTGACTGGTATCCCACTGTGTGGCTAGACCACATCTTCTTTATCCCTTCATCACCAGTGGACATTTAGGTTGCTTCCATGTCTTGGCTGTTAGTTTAATTAGACATTTATTTTCACTCCCTTCCTCTTTAATGACTGAAACTTTATTTCAAATGCGTATTTAATCTGCTTCTCTTACTTGTTGTTAAGGGCTGGATGGAGGGTGGGTCATTGTCCTTTTACTCCTCTCTCTTGCTTCTGTGCCTGCACCGGTACCCATTGCCTTCTGGCGTTTTCGCCAGCTGCAGCTCCTCTGCGCCGCCCAGCCGTGGCTCATGTGCTGGATGGCGAGTCTGCTGATCTTGGCTCCCGGCCTGCTCAGTGCTGTGACCCCAAGCGCTTTCCCTGGGTTCCGTATGGAATGGGAACCCTGGAGGGCAAGCTGTTTATGGTGTGGTCCTCACATGTTTTTATTATAATTGTTACTATTATTAGTATTAGTGTAAAGCATGCCAGAATACATCTCTCTGGGGCTTAGTATGTGCCAGGCGCCGTGCGAGAGTAAACCCTCTTCATGCTTACGTCACTGAACCCTCACAGTGACCCTGGCAGGTGGGCACTGGGATCACCCCCATTCGGCACATGAGAAGACTGAGGTGCAGCCGAGTAACGGAGGAAGGTCACTCAGCGTCTAAGTGGCAAAGCCGGGAATGGAACCAGCGGCATCTCTAGAGCCCGAGCTTCATTCTATAACTCACTCCCTCTTGATTTGTTTTCCTTTTCATTATCCTTCTGAATTCATCACATCTATTGGGATGCCTTCTCTGCTGCTCAGTCTCAAGTAGGTCCAGTAAGAGGGGAGCAGGAAGACTTGAGGCCAGGTGGTCGTACATCTCGGAGCAGTGATGTTAATCCAGAATTTTAGTCCTGTTTCTGTTGGGGGAGATTTTACTGGTTCTTTCAAGTCATTTCTGTGCCTCCTGTGTCCTCAAGTCACTGTTTATCTGCCTGCCTCGTGCGGGGCTCTGGGTATATGGTCCTGTCCCCGCTGTGAAGGAGCTTCCAGTCCGGTGGGGAGAGAGAGGGCACATGGCTGCTTCTGTTAGAGCAGAGAGAGCCTCTCATTCTGCAAAACCACCCCTGAAACTGCCAGAGCTCACGGCAAACCACTGATGACCTGTGGCTGGTCCAGAAGGGTGTGCATGCTTGTTTTCACTTTCATAAAATGCAGTCCAAAGAGCTGCTGCTGCCAGGCCCCCGCTGTCTGGCTGCCTTTGCCTGAGAACAGCTCTGACCCCGTGCAGCCTCTGCGCTGTGCACACACTCCCTTTTTTACCACTTGTGTATGAGCGAGTTTTCTCTACGGAAACAAGTACGGGGCCAGAACCTTCTGTCATTTCGGTGTGATGCATGCTTTGAAGGACTGACCGACAGGGGTGGGTCCTAAGATAGCGGGGCTGATGGTGTCTGTTCCCTGTTTATCTCCTTGACCCTTCACACTAATTCCCACCTGCAGGGTCGTTAACTCTTGATGCGTGTACTGGGCTTCTAAGTAGCACCCTGGCTACTCACAGTGGAAACACCCCGCTTGTTTCTCTTCCCCAAACTCTAGGGCCTTTTCCCCTTCTGTTGCCCTGACCTGGAGCGCTGGACAGACGGACCTCAGAGCAGAGGTCAGGTTTACCAGGACTCTCCTGGTTTTAGCGCTGAAAACCCTGCATTCCCGGAAACCCTTTGGTCCAGGGCAAACTGGGGCAGCTGGTCACCCTAGAAGCCGCCATGCAGCAGGGAGGTGCCCGGAGCTACCTGAGCCAGGTGGGGTTCTCAGTGCAGGGTGCACAGGTTCAGTCCTGTGAGCATGGGAGGTGGTGTGGGGCTGAGGGTGACTGTCCTCCCCGCACCCACCTCATCTTAACCCCCAGGGCCTCCCCACATTGCTTGGCTTCTTGGGGTAGCTGGATTTCTACCATGGTGCCAGCAGTAGGTGCTCCAAGGGACAGGAAGTGGAAGCGCCAGCCCGTGAACCAGGCCTGGCAGGTGGCCCCACGTCACCCCC